TTCCAACCAGCAAGGTTGCCGTTCCAACCAGCAAGGTTGCCGTTCCAACCCGCAAGGTTGCCGTTCCAACCAACAAGACCGCCGTTCCAACCAGCAAGATTACCGTTCCAACCAGCAAGATTGCCGTTCCAACCGGCAAGATTGCCGTTCCAACCAGCAAGAGCAAGACCACCATCAACAACATTAACACCTCCAGTATAAAGACCAGTACCACCTACTAAACCTGATGCAGCACTCCATTCTTGACCATAGGCACCAAGACCATAACCAACATAACCAGGTGCTGACTACAAACAGAAAAAGACGGTTTTTTTTAAATAAAAAATAAGAACATTATTATAAACATACAATATCTTCAACAACACCAGCAGAACGAGCTGTTGCAACGAGTGAAGAACCATCAAGAAGGCTAGCACCATATGTTTGAACGTAAGCAGCTGGACTAGCTGCACTAACACCAAGGCGTTGGAAGTTACGAAGAATACGAGCTGGAGCTTGTTCGTATTGAATGATAACATTTCGTGGAGCTGGGTATGGTAATGGAGGAGGAGCACGATGAAGAAGGGTACGTCGTTTAGCTTGAGGTCCATATGGAATCCAACGTTCCATGAGGATGTCACCTAAAATCAATGAATAATACAATAACAACATTAGAAAGAAAAGAAAAAAAAAGTACTAACGTGGTCGTGGTGGAGGAGGAGGAACACGTTCAACGATGACCGATCGTGGTGGAACTGGTAAACCAGCCAAACGACGAATGACTGTTTGAGATGGAATTACTGGTGGTGGTACTGGTGGTCGTTCACGGAGAACAAGTGGAGGTGGTGGAGGAAGAGGTGGAGCTACTTGACGAAGACGAAGTGGTGGTGGAAGAGGTGGTTGAGGTGGACGAACTTCTTTGATGATGAGTGGCTGAAAGAAAAAAAAAGATTAGATATGATGATATAGATCATAATGATTGATAGAAATGACTTACACCTGGTGGTGGAACAGGTGGTGGTTGAAGGAATTGAACTCGAACATTTTGTGTGTATGTTTGTACACCAGTTGGATTTGGACGACGAATAATGTGTGGGTTTGGATCTTGGTAGAGACCTTGAGCATCAGCAGCATATTGAACTTGAGAAGCTGCTAATGCTGCTGAATCATAAACTGATCCACCAAGAACAACATTAGCATCACCAACATATCCAGCACCGCCTACGACTGTTTGGTAACCACCAGCAAGACCAGCGTCAACAACACCACCACCAACAACAACTGAGGAATCATAAACACCACCAAGAGCAGCACCAGTTGCTCCTAATTCATAGCCTGTAACACCAGCGCCCCAGCCACCATTCCAACCAGCACCCCAACCACCATTCCAACCACCATTCCAACCGCCATTCCAACCAACACCAAGGTTTTGACCTTCAAAATGCAACGATTATCATCAATTAATATATACACAATAATTGAAAATATATCAACTTACCAAGGAAGTTACGGTATTCACCAAGATCTACACGTCCATCTTGGTTAAGATCGATTTGATTGAAGACAGCGTCAGCAGCAGACATGATTGTTTGTGTAATGTTAATGTGAATAGAGCACTTACCGGTGAAAGTAAAAAGTGAAGAAAAGCTACCAGTAGATCAATGTTTATATAGGACCAATCGACCATGCATGGATGGACATGAAGCAGAGGAGCGAGACAAAGAAAAAGGCAAATAGCGGTATATTTTTTGCTTGAGCCCACCATAGTTTTGCTTGCCAAGCTGGTTGTTATTGTATGTAAAATAATGATTAGTCCAGCAAAAAAAAACAATGCGATAGGAAAAAAAAGAGATACTATGGGGGGGGGGGGGGGGGGGGGGGGATACAATGCAAAACTATGTATTGATAAACAATGTTGAATGTATAATAAGAAAAAAAAAGAGTGACGAAGAAAAATAACAATCATTATTTTTTGTTTAGCAAACTGTATTGAATAACAACAATGACTTCAGTTTAATTTGATACAAAGTTTATAGAATAGTAGAAATTTTATATGATTAAATTTGTTTTTATACAAAAAGATAAGCGCTTTAATATGAATCCTAATTCTCTCAAAAAACCTTGGAAAAATACCACATATGAAAAGCAAAGTAACAGTCTTTTTTTGTCAAAATAACAATTGGCTAGGATAAAGAAAGCAATGATTCACTCTCTTACCTGGACATGTGGCTTGTGGTAAGTGGTTAATATAACCTGTATTATTCGATTGGAAATATCTAATAGTATACTTTTGATAAAGAGTGCATGCTTGTATTTAATTTTAAATGTGCAGTGTTAGTATAACCACTGAAAAAGTCACTCAAATGTTCACTAGCAACTGGTTAAACGAAATGAATATAATTCAAATAATGAAACTTTCTATAGTCAACTGTTTTTTTTCGGGATTGATTGTGATAATATAATATCTTAATTTCAATTTTTTGTGTTAACGCATTCAAATAAGTCATTGTAAACAATATTTACCTTGACAATAAATATTTTCATTCGTAAGTCAATAACTACAAGTAGTTTAATTCTTAAAAAAAAATTGTCTAATGAAAATACATTTGAAGCTCCTTTAAATAAAAAATATACTCAAGCAAACGAACATAATAGAATAAACTAGCAATAAATAAATTTGTTGAAGACATTCAACGATTTATCAAACTTGGTTTTTTCCTCAAATAATAGAACAATGTCAACTAAAAAAAAAATACATAAGCTGGTCAAAAATTCTGTCACTTTCGAATATGTATTTATAGAAAAAATATCTTGTTAATCTTTTTATAGTAAAGGTTCGAAGTTGTCCACATCATATTCGATACAATGTTTTATCCTGTCAATTAATTTCTGAAAAATGTTTTGGTATTGGTGAAATGGTGTTGAATTGAGTTTCTTGATTATTATTTTACCTAAACTTTTACAAGCAATAACTATAACACGTACATGCGTATACGTCTAGATGACGTCTTATTTGCAAGCATTGCAACGTCATCAAACATGATGAGGTGGATGTCCTTTTATGAATAACTCTTTCATTAGGACTGTGAAAGACACTGCCATCCGTGCATTCGATTAAAATAGAACAAAGTTATTTGTTAACTAAATTTTTTAAAAGTAACTTGAATCTCTTATGACTTTATAGGAAAAGAATCGGTCCTAGAATGGAGGGATGAGGGTGAAAAAAGTACCACGAATAAATGTTGTATTTTTAAGTTTTGATCGTGTTGGTATACTGACTATAATATGTCTAGAAAATAGAACGGTTTAGGGCCTTTCAGAGGATCAAATTGATGTGTCACATTTGTTTTTATGTCTCATATTTTAATTTTTAATGTTCTTCTGCAAACTTCAATATTAATAGATGCATTCATATGTATCCATAAGGAGAAAATAGTTCACATGTACATCTCTGACATTTAATGTTATTTTCATGGAAAGCATAATAGAAGTTATGAAAATCTTTAAAAATTGTTTAAATAGAAAATGTACGATAGAATTGAAGCTAGTTTTCCAAATTTTTACTGATTAATAAAAATTTGACCTTGTGCATCTCGGTTTATTTCAAGGTCATTTCAATTGATTTACATCGTCATTTATAATATAATCAAGCTTTTTTATCTTCCCTTAGTCTTTGGTGTGATGTTAACTTGTTTAAGTAAGTATTTAAATAATCAACAACGTTTAATTATAACAACTTACGTTCATGATATCGTTCGTTTAATTACATTTGAACAATCTGATAAAATATATCCTTGTAATCAACAATCCAATGAAATATAAAAACGATATAAGATTTCTTTTTTATTTTTCTAACTTTTATAAAATCTAAATAAAATTTCTTTTTTTTTTCAGCTTGAAGTAAAACAAAATGAACCATTTATGTTCAACAAAAATTCTTCATTATTAACATCAAATTGATTGTAGTTTTCTTTTTACTGACGAATCAAAAATAAATTTAGATAAATCATCTTATGCTACTATTGTATATGCACAAATCACTTATATTCACTCAACTATAATAAATGTACATGAATTGAAAGACAAATAAGTGAAAATAATTTATCATGATTATCAATAGAAAAAAAACTTTTTGAAATTAAGTTTTTAGCATCGTTTCTAATATGGTTGGAAAACGATTATCAAATTGAATATGCAAAGAGATACCGATGAATGAATTAAGATTTACATATACGAAAAAAAAATATGTATTAGAATTTAATTATCATCTTTATGATGTCATTGTGACAAATTTAACACACGCTATTAATACATCTACATATTAAAATGTTAAAGTAGAACCAGAAAAAGTTTAGATAAAATCATGATCATATCTGTATATAGATTTTTTTTTGCTACGTTCTTTAAATTCTGCATTTACTAAATAAACTTAAATATAATCATCTACAAGGACTATTATGTCACCGTATTCTGAACTGAATAATATGAAGAGCGTTCTTTTTCTTTTAAGGTAAACAAAAAAAACAATAATATCAGATAATATCATACTTTATAACACGTGCTTTTTATAATTTATATTAATTACTTTAATGTCCACCTGTCATATGAAAAAAAAAACAGTACTGTAACATCTATCTATGGTGAAAACTTGCTCATTTACGTCCCTTTATCCGTGAAGAATTCTTTGCGAAGAAAAACCTTCAAAACATCATCGCGTTTAAAAGTTGTTTCCGTTTTTTGTCAAAATTTACGATTGTCTGAAATTTTCACTCTCTAAATTCTTAGCCACAGTCTTTTTCATTTTCTAGATTTTCTGTTCGAAACTTTATAGACATTTATTTTTGAATTAGATAAAGCTATGCCTAGTAATTATCCATTGAATAGAGTAGTTGTATAAATGTGCGGGAAGTGAAACTTGCCGGACTTATCTAGACAATACATTGGTTAAATCATTGAGTTTTTGTTGTAGATTTTCAGGAAAAGTTTTAGACTATCTATTCTAACTGATCCCATTGAGAAGTTTCAAACGTTTGGAAGTCTTGAAATCAGCTAACTGATCACTAAGCACTCTAACGATTATTCAGTTTGGTGTAGTGTCTAAATTCGGTCTCATAACAGTAATTATTTTTATTTTCAATAAGGTTGTCACTGATTAGATTATGATTTTTGTTATTCAATCCATACAAAATCTTTAACATCAGAGGGTAAATTTTCAAGATTTTATCTTTCTAACTATTCCAAAATGTGTTCGTTTGAAAAAATACATAAAAAATTCGCTAGCTTCACTAATACATAGTTTAGATAATTGAGTATGGTTTCATTTGTTCACATATTTCTGTTTTGAATGTTGAAAACCATAGATTGCTAGCTACTTTCATTCTCAAAATCTTCAAATAATATCGAGATGCGTTATATTTTAGCTTCAAAAATAGTTATACATGATGCCGTTGACAATATATCTTGAGCTAATTATCTTTCAGTTTATATGAATAGATCGAATAAATATAATTTTTTTTTTGTTTCTCAACTTTTATATTATATTATCTAAGATCATAATCAAGAACTATATCATACGAACAAAACAATACAGAAAAAAAAACTGCCGACGACGATTCACATAAAACCAAGCGCTTAACAAAAGTAAAACGAAAACAAAAAAAGCTCATTTTGATTGTTTAATAGGCAACAGATGAAGTGCATGTTTCGTATAAGCATGTATCAGCAAGTTCTTAAAGATTTTGAGCTAAAAATAGATGAACACAATTTAGTTATGATATCAATAAAATGATAAAATCCATTCAGACAAAAACTTACCAAGAAGGTTGTGGAATTCTTCTCGGTCAAGGCTACCATTATAGTCGGTATCAGCATTAAGGAAAGCAGCATCAGCTCCACTAACAACAGCAGCTGATCCCAATAATCCACCATTCCAACCAGCACCAAGACCACCAGCAACAACACCACCATTCCAACCACCACCAAGACCACCAGCAACAACACCACCATTCCAACCAGCACCAAGACCACCATCAACAGCACCACCTTCCCAACCACTAGCGCCACTTGCTGCCCAACCTGATGATTCATATAATGATGATGAACCGAATCCACCACCAAGAGCAAGACCAGCATCAGCAACTTCAGCACCTTCAGCAACAAGACCAACACCACCAGCTACGCCTGAGGCGGCACCCCATGATTCTTGACCATATGCGGCAGCACTATAACCAACAAAACCAGGTGCTGACTACAAACAGAAAAAGACGGTTCTTTTTTAGAACAAAAAATAAGAATACTATAATAAACATACGATATCTTCAACAACACCAGCAGAACGAGCTTGTGCAACGAGTGAAGCACCATCAAGAAGATGAGCACCATATGTTTGAACATAAAGAGCTGGATTAGCTGCAACAACACCAAGACGTTGGAATTGACGAACAATACGAACTGGTGCTTGTTCGTATTGAATGATGACATTTCGTGGAGCTGGGTATGGTAATGGAGGAGGAGCACGTTGAAGAAGGGTACGTCGTTTAGCTTGAGGTCCATATGGAATCCATCGTTCGATGATGACGTCACCTAAAATAAATGATTGAAATGATACAAACATTAGAAGAAAAAAAAGAAGAAAAGAAACTACTAACGTGGTCGTGGTGGAAGAGGTGGAAGACGTTCGATGATGACTGATCGTGGTGGAACTGGTAAACCAGCCAAACGACGAATGACTGTTTGTGAAGCAATTACTGGTGGTGGTACTGGTGGTCGTTCACGGAGAACAAGTGGAGGTGGTGGAGGAAGAGGTGGAGCTACTTGACGAAGACGAAGTGGTGGTGGAAGAGGTGGTTGAGGTGGACGAACTTCTTTGATGATGAGTGGCTGGAAGAAAAAAAAAGATTAGATATGCTGATATAGATCATAATGATTGATAGAAATGACTTACGCCTGGTGGTGGAACAGGTGGTGGTTGAAGGAATTGAACTCGAACATTTTGTGTGTATGTTTGTACACCAGTTGGATTTGGACGACGAATAATTTGTGGATTTGGATCTTGGTAGAGACCTTGAGCATCAGCAGCATATTGAACTTGAGAAGCTGCTAATGCTGCTGAATCTAAGACTACTCCACCAGCAAGTCCAGCACCGGTTGCAATTGATTCGTAACTAGCAGCACCACCGGCAAGACCACCACCAACAACGTATGAAGCATCATAAGCACCACCAAGAGCAGCACCTGATGCAGATGATTCATATGCTGCTGATTCAAAGCTTGAAGCACCAGCACCTAAATCAGCACCCCAACCAGCACTAGCATCCCAGCCAGCACCAGCACCCCAGCCAGCACCAGCACCCCAACCAGCACCAGCATCCCAGCCAGCACCACCACCTAATGATGCTGATTCCCATGATGAACTAGCACCGTAGCCAGCACCAACACCAAGATTTTGACCTGAAAAAAGTAATAATTATCATTAACAAAAATACACGCCTAGTTATTGAAAAAAAAATATCAACTTACCAAGGAAATTACGGAATTCACCGAGATCTACGCGTCCATCTTTGTTAAGATCGACTTGGTTGAAAACAGCATCAGCAGCAGTCATGATCGTTTGTATACTGTTAATATGAACAGGGTACTTACTAGACAAAGTGATGAGTGAAGAAAATCTGCTGGTAGATTAAGCTTTATATAGAACCAGTCGATCATGCATGGATAGAGATGAAATAGTGTAGGAAAGCGGAGGGGGGAGAACAGACAAACAACTGTACATTTTCGCTTCAGTGCATTACAGCCTTGCTCTGGAAGGCCGCTTTTTGTACATGAAACAATGGTGAGTCTACGAGAAATTTTGCGATACGCAAAAAGAGAGAGATTATGTGAAGGAAAAGAGAGTAGAATAATTTTTATTCGAAAATAATGTTGAACTAATACGAGAAAAAAAGAGTAAAAAAAAGATATGTTCGTTTAGTTGTTGTTTATCGAATTGTATTGAAGAAGGACGATTACAACTTAACGTGACAGATAATTTAAAGAATAAGTGAAGGTTGATAGTAAGAAAACTATTGTTATATGAAATGGTAAGTTATTACATATGAATATGATGATCTCTGTTAGAGGTCATAAATGGTTTAAAAAAGAAAAGCTAAACAGAATGTTCACATGTTTTTCGAGATTTGAGATTAACAGGATTGTCTGTTTTATTCAATTGAAAATCTGTAATAATACACTTATAATGAAGAGTGCATATTCAATGTTTGACCTTGGATGTAATATGTTAGTATAATTATCTACATTTTGAAGTCTTTTTTCTTTTGCTAATTCTTGACATCAAAAATATCGTTTTGTTTTTGAAAATCTAATAATCGATATGAATAAATCTATGGTAAAAGATAATTAAAAAGTTTCGACTTCTCTCACAATGGATCCTATTCGACTGACAATCAATCTTGAGCTTATATTTTATTTACAGATAAAACTGATAGTGTAGATGAAAACTTTGAAAAGTTTCGTTCCATTATGTCTTTCTTTTCAAGTTATAGTCATTTTAGTAAGATTTCAGCTAGGATTTCTCCCCAACAATAGCTTTCATTCCATATATGATATTCTGAAAGTTTCAGTTCGAATGAATGATATCTTCTGAAAATATCATATATTCAAAAATTGGGCTATTTTTTCGTACTCTTATGTACAAGTAATGTTTTTTGCAAACGTATTATCTCAGAAGGAAAGAATTCATTTGAGCTGCAATTTCTTGTTCCAATTTTTCTCTTTATACTCTGCAACAGGCTGAAAAAAATTCAGTGAAATGACTATAACTAGAGAAGGAAGGCCTAATGACACGAATTGTTTCACGATTTTCATTCATACTCTGAGTTCTGGTGAGTTCTCTGGTCAGTAAATTGATCTTATCTGTGACAAACTTATGTCAAATTGTTTGATCAAAATATGTAAATTTGTAGAAAATGATTAGAGCTATTATCTGAAGATAAAAGATATTTGAAAATGCGTAATTGCAAGACGATGTTATAGTCATTTGATTAATGTTGAACAAATATTTTCATCTTATATTTAAAAAGATAATAATTAAAAAAAAAATATTCCATGGTTGTGCTTACAAAGGCTTTTATAGGATGTATCATTTTAGTTAAATGATATTCGTCATATTTTTTAAGTTTTCTACATTATTAGTTTTATTTTCGTTAGTATTTTAGATAACAAAACATGTAAGAAAATGATTATTCATATGTCTAAAAAACAAGGTTAATGCATCTTCAAAGTGAACTATCTGATAAAAACTAGGTTTTCATAAAAGAAAAAAAACTGTATTATTAGTAACACATCGGATATACACATCAAACAACAAGGTACAGTTGAATAGGCGAATCCTTGATCAAAAGTTTTGTGTAAAATTGTGTCCCTGAGCTACATTAGCTGGAGATGAATTTTAATTGATAAACAAATCTGGATAAATTGAAAATATCAATGCATCGAAAATTTCTTTTTCTGCGAATTAAATAATTAGCGTTTAACACAGTTTTCTATTTTTTTTTTCATAAAGCGGACAGCTTTTAGAAAAGAAATATATTTCTTTCATTTTTACTAATGATGACGAATATGAGAAAAATAAGCAATATTCTTCAATATTGAACATTTAACATATTAAATAATTTTAGTCAAAATTGCAATTACTAAAGTGTAAGCGACAGTATGTCTATTAGCCTTGATGATAATCTATAAATTGCACAGTTCAGATAATATGATTAAACAGTTAAATTTTTATATTACTGAGAAATTAAATGACCTAATGACTAATTTCATTAATCATTATGATGGACTTCTTTTTGAAAATCCAACGTCACTTTTCTCTTTATTCAGAGTGTCTCTAAGAGGTTTTCTTATTCGGTTTCAATAAATGTGAAAACATGTGTAATCAGTTAGTCTCTACAAACCTTATATGGGCAAGCATTACTCTAAAGTATTTACTCATGCGCGTCAAAAGTTTCGAATCGAGTTGTTAATTAAAAGGGTGTATGTGAATCTTCTTTTCACATACAACTCATACTCACATCCATGCTCACCCTTAGTAGAATATTGCGGAGATAAAACTTATGTCGATTAAATTAATAATTTGCTGGCCAATGACTCGAAATCTATTTCTTCTTCGTTTCTTTTCTTGCATACATTTCAGTTTAAATTGAACAAAAAAGAAAACGAAAGTGAGGGCGATTTATCTGCTCATTCACCTTTGCACAAAATGACACTTACCAATTGGTTGAAGTCAACGGTACACCATTTTGTCTATCATACGTTACATCAAATGTCGAAGGCACCTTGTGTGCAAATCAAATTTTTGAAAGATGTTCCCAACAACCATCCAAAACCATTATGTAAAATTACTTGACGGAGGTATATGAGGATCGCCGAAAAACTACAGTGCAGTCCACTAGTTTTTTTCTCTGCAAAAATCGATACTATTAATATGAATGTCGTCTACGGTTTTGAACTAGTCACCGGAAAGAGAACAAACAAAATACTTCGTTAGATTGTGTGATTTTAGCTAAGGAATTGGCCAGTTTAAATGAAATAGTAATGCCTAGTTTCATGTTTTGATGAAATAAGAAACTTATATTCTATCCCTTTCTATATGGTCATTCAGTCAATGTTATAGATTTGATAGACACTTCTATATGCTACTCATTTGACTTTGTTTCGATAAGTAACCAATATAGCAAAGATCTTCGTATATAATTATAGTTTTATTTCAAATCTATTTAGAAAGATAAACAAATAGTTTTATATATATTCAATGATATAAATTCGTTAGCAACTTGCATGCATCACTTGATTGATCACGATAACCAATGCTAATATAAATGCTTGATTTTCATTGCTAGCTATTTTAACAAGATACGTATACGTCACTGAAGGACGCTTTCTCTCGATGACAGCTACTACTTGTTCTTCTTTGATCAATATAAACGAATGGGAGAAGAAATCCAATGCTTTAAGTTCATACTGACCAAATACCGAATCGATTGTAATTTTTTTGCGCAAAAAAAGTGAATTTCTCTTTGATATGTGCTAACGAACAATTGTGATCACTATTGGCCGCCGATAAAAGGTGATAAGTCGTACGAAAATGACATGATTCTTCACAAATCTTGATCAGACGACTCTACAAACAGATAGAAAGCAACAGCTTTGATTTTGAGAACAATAAAAACGATACAAGTGGTCAAAATAACAAGGTTGTGCCATTGTTTTTCTTGCCAATAGACAAAAAGTAGCACATAAACTGGTTTTCAGATATATAATAATTTTTGACTGTATTTCTACGAGGAATACTTCTCCTGATATGCTTATCTAGATAAGACTTACTTTCCATGAATGTCTTTCAATGTTAGGTTATCACCGATGGAAAAAATTTTCGATCGGATAATGAATATATCTTTATCGGTCTCATCTCTGATTTTATAAGTACCACCAATTGAGCAAAATTTATCGCGAACTCGATATCGATGAGAAGATAATTGCAGTTGTTTCGATGCTTCATCAGTAGAATGATGGATCTGTGTCGTCGACGGATTATTGTTTTGAAAAGCATCGGTTGAAATTGAGAGTTCGCATGGTAAGACTCCATCAGAAACTAACAGAAACTCGCTAAACTGTTGATCAATGGTTGAATCTATGATGACAGACTCGAGATCGTCATCAATCGATTGCTGGTTCTGCAAATATACTGCTGAACAAGCTAAACATGAGGTGTTTTGTTCTTCAAGTTGTAGACTTCGATACTGTGTAAATTCTGAAACAAAAATCAACGGAGCAAAAATGATAATTGTTGAAACACCGCTGAAGATATTGTGTCTTCAGAGAAAAATAAAAAGTGAATTTTTTTTTAATCTAATCAAAAAGACACAAGATGGAAACTAACTGACTAAGCAGAATTAAGAAACCGTCTTAACTGAAATGATTGAGAAATCTGATTTGATTAAATGAATGATGATAATGATTTTTATTACTATGGTCATGCTGACTATGATTAGGATTCTTTTGCCCTTTTCACATGTTTTTTTTGTAGGGATGCGTATTGACCTTAAATTCATGTTGAATTTTAAGAAGATGAGCATTATTTGCTCTAGATGGCTCAAGAGAAGATCTTCACTCATATTCTTAAATAGATCTTTTGGCTGGCTTATCGGACATATTAAATCAAATATAAATGACATACCTTCAAGTTGGACTGGTTCGATGAGAAGTTGTTTCAATTGCTCGAACTTCGGTCGATTGTTCGACAATCGCGACCATGTTTTGACAATAATCGACCAATATTGTTTACTACAGTTTGACGGTCGAGATAAAACATGGCCGTTGATTACATGTCGAATAACATCCAGATCATTCGAAATATTCGAACAAGGTATTGTACCTCGAAAATATGCTTCCCACATGAGTATACCTATTGAATCGACATTCGATTTTTCAGAATAAGCATTTGTTGCATTATTCGATAGAAATATTTCGGGGGCAGCATATCGAATAGGAATAATATTTGACGTCGACTGTCCAAAATCCGATGTGAATGAATCACACTGATTATGT